GGTTGTGAAGCTCATCTTGGTCAGGAAGAGCCAAGTAGAAAACAGAGGCTCCTAGTCTGAAGGAAGGGCTCAGATGTTGGACTTATTGGGTTCGGCACACCACTTCTGCCGGCGGGCCTCCGACAGAAGTTTCCCAGCGTCAACGATCCAGTCGTTCCTGGTCTTAGACCAACGAGCCAAAGCACGGAGTTGGTTTGTGACCCTCTGCCCCGGTGTGAGGTCGCGGGCACTGGGCTGCTCCTCGAACTCGGCTTGTAAATAGGGCTTGATTGATTCCTCCAAGGGAACCCTCTCGGCTACCCCAAAACGCTGCACCTCGGGGGTGCGAGATCGCTCTCTGCCCGCCGTGGTGTGGGGGCCCCAGGCCGGAGGCCGGAGGGAACAAGGAGAGACTCACTTGCTGCTCAGCCTAGCAACAAGGGAGAGACTCACCTTGCACTGACACACAGATGGCTCTAACTACGGACAAGCCGGGGTTGAATGAGGCCTGTTCCCCAACGACAGTTTGAGGACTCGAGGCTGGTTCACCACAGCTACCGCTCAGCTACTGTGTGCACCCCACCGGGGTTGAGCCGAAACTTGAGCCAGTCACATATATCACTCGAAAGCGGGCTGAGTCGCTAGCCAATTAGGCTCTTCGGGACCAAAGTCCCGGAAGTTAAGGTGAAACGTGAGAACAACTACTCTCGGGAATGCCTTGGCCTGCTAAACACGGCCGAGCTTATGAAGGCATCCGAGATGCTACGGGAAGAGCTACGGGCAGGGAGAACCTCACCATCCCTCAGAGTCTTTACAGACTTGACAAGATTCTCGCCGCAGCTCAGGGAGAAACTCACCTTCTGGCTCATCGCAGATCACTGAAACGGGGCCCTCCCGAGTCGATAATGCCCTGTTCGCTGAGATGGCTCCAGAAGGGCTGACACTCCATTAACAGCGTTTCCGCGCACCACCTAGGGTAAACGCCAACGTGTCTGAGCTTGTCACGAAGCCAGCCTTGGCGTGAAGGGCTGAAATCCGCCACAAGCGCCCAAAAGCCTGTCCAGCTGTGTTTGGCTTCTTTGCCTTCCCATGTCCATTCGTTCGTGTCGAAGAAGATGAGCCTCGGATAGGGGGAATTTGCCGTGGTACGACTCACGGCTACATTTAGCGGCCCCAAATCGCGGAGGGTCCACCCTTCAGCTCGAAGAAAGGCCAAAATGATGGCCATGTAGCACAAGAACTGGAAGCAACTCTGGCTTCCAGCGCCGAATCGGGTGAGAACCTCAACCCCTGGAACACATCGCTCCTGCAGCGACATGTAAAATGGAAACACCTGCTCTCCACCCTGCCACAGCAGGCGGACGCGCACAAGCCCATACCAGTAGACCTTCGCCGTTAACCGGGGAAAGATATTACTGATACGCTCTTCTTCGGCTTGGCTTTCATCCGAAAATTTCCACACCAGGGGAGCCGATTCGGCTACATAGGCTACTCGCGTACGGCCGAACATGAGCATAGTCAGATCCATGGTGTCCCTAACCTGGAGGCTGTGGGTGACGTCATGGATCATGACCAGGTTGACAGGAAGATAATGCAGAGGTTCCTTTGGCTTGCCGCGGTGTGCCTTCCACTGGCCTTGAAAGTGGAACGCGGCTTCCTGTGGGTCTGCCCTCTGACGCGCATCTGCTGCCACTGCGGCGCTTCTTCCTGAACTAGTCGCCCTAACTGTCTGAGGGTTTGCCTCGGATGCTTCGTTGTCCTGGGGCCGCCCTGAGCTCTCGGGAAAGCTTGCGGGGTCAAGAAGAGAGGTGAGATCCTCAACCTCCGCGTGGGCGTCAGGGTGCCCAGGGTTCAATGAGGAGGAGCTTAGCAGAGGAGCCTCATTTCGGGAGAGAACCTCTTCCCTTCTGTGCCCGCTTGAAGCAGAGGAGCTTCTTAACTTGACCCTTCGTTCCCAGGGGGAAAGCTGATCGGAGCGCCACTCCTGGGTTTCATCCGAAGGATCTTCGGGCACGTCTTCCTCCTGTCCTCGCCTGCTTGGCGGAGGAGCAGGTGGTGTAGGGCGAGGTGTTGAGTTTGCCCGAAAACGCGCATCGCTTTCCGCTAAGGCAAGATGCCTAGCGTGGCTCCTTGCTTTACTCCTGGAGATCGAGCCGGGGCTTTTTGTAGGGAGATCTCGCGCGTTTCTTTCCATGTTCACCTCCCATGCTGCATCCAGCTCTTCTTGTGGCAATCTGGATTGCTTGCCTTTGAGGCCTTTGGATTTGCCGTGTCCTTTCTTCCATCCTTTTCCCATAGCTCACTTCCTAAAAGAGAGAGCGGTTTGTGTCAGGCCATCCTTTTTTGCTTTGGCTTTAATTTTTTCTTTAGGCTTGGGAAAAGCAGGTGTGGTCTGAGGAGGCAAAGGAGGAATCTGAGGGAGAGACTCTCCTGTACTGCTACTTGCCACTGCTTCACTTACGCTGGTGTTTGAAGGCACAACGGCTGCGGGATGGGGCGAGCAACTCTGCCTCAAGCCAAAGAAGGCTTTCACGCCTGCCTTGGGGTCTAGGCTTCTTTTTTGGGCTTCCTGGAATTTGCTGTTAGGCTTCTTGCAGACCTGGCTGCACCTTCCTTGACATCCCGGTTTGGCCTTTAGGATTCTGACAGCTTGGAAAGCGCCACACTTTTTGCATACCACTGACTCTCCAAGGTTGATCATGTGGTGAGACACATGAAAGCCCCACGGAGTCGAGGTGGGCACAGGCAGACTCTGGCACGGGAACTGAAGAACGTGCACAACCACCTCATGCGGATCGACTTGTTGCACGTAAAGCCCGCACCCTTCACACTTAATGCACAGGTTGTTGGTGCTTTCTCCGCTAGAGATGAAACGAGATGACCTAAAGTGAAATATGAGCTGAGATGCGATGAACATGACAAATTCGCTCCTACAGAGCGCCTTGCTTCCCGGCATGCCAAATAGCAGCAAACAAGATTGCACGAATGAAACGACATGAAGCGGGGTGAGATGAGATGCGCATAAATCAAAACTCACAAGGGCCATTTGTCAAGCATACCGGCGGCCTGCAACTATGGAAAATCTGAAATGCATAGTTCTGCAAATTTATCTCAGAGGTCATATCCTCTAGTTGTGATTGAGGCTGTGACGCGAGCCTTGTTTTCGTTTCAGCGCTTTCAGGGCTTGTGCTTTTGTCGCGACCTTCCTGTGATAATCCAGCGGTTTTCCTGCGGTCGGTGTGAGATCTTCTTTCGCGATGCTGTGATCATTGTGCGACAATCCTATAAAGATCCTGCAATTATCCTGCGACTATGACTATCCTGCACTTGTTCTGTGACGTGCTGTGGTATTCTTGCGATGTTCCTGGGGTTCGGCCGTGATGTACCTGTGATGTGTTTGCGTATCTTCTGTTCTGTGTGAATGACTTATCTCTCCGCGTTTTCTCCCATACGTTGCTGAAAGCTGTCCCGCGCGCCCAGCCAACGAAGTCTGGCGGCCGGGCCAGCCTTCGCCGCAAGGCCCGTAAATATGGGAATCGATCATCACGTGATTTGAGCCACAGACATCATACACCCCAAGGGCCCAAGGGCTGAAGTTGGGTGAAGTACCATCCCGAATCAACAGTCGTAGGTGTAAGAAGCTTGCCAAAGCAACATGAAGTCGAATTGTAGATATCTCACCTTAGCAACGCATCAACAGCGATTGGCATCTGCTCCCCACGAAAGTCTCTAACTAGGATGTACCGGCTCAAGGCTGCAAAGAGGCTTCGTGTCGCCCCGACTCTGATAAAGCCCTGCACCTGCTGCTATTCTGCCAGCGCAGTACTTCAAAAGTCAGGTGTCCATAGGAGCCTACAAACACCCCAGGCAGCGCCCCCCCCCCCCCCTCGAAAGGCATCGCCAAGAGCAAGAATGGCCACCCTTTTCTCACACGAGGAGCGCGGGAGTCGACGAGGCCAAAGTCAGGAGATGCATCGTGACACCTAGGTCCGGGTCGTCGGCATCGCGGGGCGCTTCGGATCGTGAGAAGCACTCTTGTTCATCAAGACCAACAACACGGCAGTTTCCGAAGTCGGGTGTCAATGAAAGGGCAGCACAGCAGCCGCTTGACCCACTTCTTGTGTATGGTAGGAGATGCTGGCGCAGCAACTGGCGGTGGCGCGTTGCAGCTGGCAGTCCTGGAGTGGTGGCGCTGGACTTCGGATGTCGTAGGCCTGAAACGTCTGGGATATCGGCACCGCATCATTCACGATATTCATGATCATCGGCTGGGTGAAAGGGTACCTGGCCTGTTCATCGGAGTGGTCGGAGACCACGCCAAGCCGGAGGCAAAAAAAGTGCGCCTATGCTCGGTGCCGATGACTGGATGCCTGGATGCCAGCTTGGCCCGTCCAGACCTCGCACCTCCCGGGAGAATGCGAGAACCCTTGCGGTACTCAAGGCCCTTACAGCGCCTTACAGTTCCATGTCGCATTCCAAGAGCATGCTTGCGGACACGACAGTGCAGGTGTTGCTGAGTGTAGAAGCTACTCAGGCTGCCGGTTGGAGTAAAGGCCGCTGGCCTGGCAAACTCGGTTGTTGAAGCCATCCAAGGCCCGAAAAGATTTGTACTTGAGTGTCCTGCCAGTAGACACCCTCGCTCCGATCAAACCTCCAATTCTCGCACGCTGACAAGCCGGGATTGAGGAGCTCTCTGGCGCCCAGAAAAGTGTAGTAAGCATCCAGGTTGTCAACCTCCTTGCAGCCACGGCCAACGCGGTCGACACCTCCGTCGACACGCAGAAGGGCCTCGGGAACAACTGGCGTCTTAAAGCATCTCAATTTTGGATGGAACAGCATTCACACATCGGAAGCACAGCGGCATGCAGGCTGTCTTATCCCGCAAGTCCCCTAAGCAGTCAAAGGCTGTCCAAGTGCCGCATGCACGGCACAAACACTGCCACCTGACAGCCACAAACCCTAATTAGGCCCTAATTCTCCCGCCGCCCCAAGGCCTCCCAGCCACTGGGTGGCAGCTGCACTGCGGCTTCTCGGCTCAAGCGGACGACCTCGGCTCCCGTTGATACGTCCAGGTGCACGGGACGTCCGCTTCTATCGGTGTCGGCCCAACTGTACCCAGCTTTGTTCTGAGAAACAAATTTGGCATATGTCGACCCCTTCACACATATGACATCTGCATTGCGCCGGCATCGCGAGCCAAGGCGGCACCCTGCGCCAGTGCTGCCATGGATCGCATCGAAATCGCCGACTCTCCTTCGGAAAATCGACGAATGTGCTGGCTGAGACGTGTACTGTGGATGGTTCAGGGTTTACGAACGTTTACGGCACAGCGTCGTTTTGAACATGGTGTGCATTTGCTCCAGTTCTTTAAACGTAATGCGCTTCTTCTCATGGCGATTGTTCTTGTCAGTCTCAACGCAGGAGCGGGGGAGGGGCATGAGAATCACGTATTGAACGGAGATCAAGGAAACGACACTGACACCGCAAAACATGTGCTTCTCCGGCGCCCCTTGTCAAAGCAAAAGGCACGACCACAATTGTCCCCCCATCCCGGCAGTCCATGCGGCAGTCTCTTCACCATCTTGGCGTCAGCCTTGGGATTCGCTTGTAGGGCCCAGCAGGGCCTTGTAGGGTTGACATGGGTTGACCATGGTTGACCCTTATGACTTCCGATGAGTCTTCCACGCGTTCAGAAAATTGTTGCTTCCCTAAACCCTACGCCATGCATACGCCATGGAGGGCAGAGTGATGCAGAGTGGAAGAATGTGCAGTCGAATGCAGTCGAAGGCACCCCTGGACCGTGGTTTCCGTGGAGCAGCTCGAAGAGCAAGGCCTGCAGGAATGGGCTCCCACTCTGAGGCTTCAAGTGAACCAAAGGCGTAGCTTAAAGGTCCCCTCCACGGCGCACCTCTTTAAGCCAAACGCCCTCTCCTCCAAGGCGCAAGCGCCCCCCTCCAAGGCGCACCTCTAAGCAAAACGCCCCCCCTCCACGGCGCACCTCTTTAAGCCAAACGCCCTCTCCTCCAAGGCGCAAGCGCCCCCCTCCAAGGCGCACCTCTAAGCAAAACGCCCCCCCTCCACGGCGCACCTCTTTAAGCCAAACGCCCTCTCCTCCAAGGCGCAAGCGCCCCCCTCCAAGGCGCACCTCTAAGCAAAACGCCCCCCCTCCACGGCGCACCTCTTTAAGCCAAACGCCCTCTCCTCCAAGGCGCAAAAGCGCCCCCCTTGAGCGCCACCCCCCAAGGCGCACCTCTAAGCAAAACGCCCCCCCTCCACGGCGCACCTCTTTAAGCCAAACGCCCTCTCCTCCAAGGCGCAAGCGCCTCCCTCCAAGGCGCACCTCTAAGCAAAACGCCCCCACGGCGCACCTCTTTAAGCCAAACGCCCTCTCCTCCAAGGCGCAAGCGCCCCCCTCCAAGGCGCACCTCTAAGACTCTAAGCAAAACGCCCCCCCTCCCCGGCGATAAGCCAAACGCCCTCTCCTCCAAGGCGCAAGCGCCCCCCTCCAAGGCGCACCTCTAAGCAAAACGCCCCCCCTCCACGGCGCACCTCTTTAAGCCAAACGCCCTCTCCTCCAAGGCGCAAGCGCCCCCCTCCAAGGCGCACCTCTAAGCAAAACGCCCCTCCTCCACGGCGCACCTCTTTAAGCCAAACGCCCTCTCCTCCAAGGCGCAAGCGCCCCCCTCCAAGGCGCACCTCTAAGCAACGCCCCCTCCAACTTTAAGCCTCCTCCTCCACGGCGCACCTCTTTAAGCCACGCCCTCTCCTCCAAGGCGCAAGCGCCCCCCTCCAAGGCGCAACCTCTAAGCAAAACGCCCCCCCTCCACGGCGCACCTCTTTAACAACGCCCTCTCCTCCAAGGCGCAAGCGCCCCCCTCCAAAAGCCAAAGCCCTCTCCTCCAAGGCGCACCTCTAAGCCAAAACGCCCCCCCTCCACGGCGCACCTCTTTAGCCAAACGCCCTCTCCTCCAAGGCGCACCTCTAAGCAAAAGCCAACGCCCCCCTCAACGCGCACCTCTTTAAGCCAAACGCCCTCTCCTCCAAGGCGCAAGCGCCCCCTCCAAGGCGCACCTCTAAGCAAAACGCCCCCCCTCCACGTCGCACCTCTTTAAGCCAAACGCCCTCTCCTCCAAGGCGCAAGCGCCCCCCTCCAAGGCGCACCTCTAAGCAAAACGCCCTCCCTCCACGGCGCACCTCCTTAAGCCAAACGCCCTCTCCTCCAAGGCGCAAGCGCCCCCCCTCCCAAGACGCACCTCTAAGCCAAACACCCCCCCCAAGGCGCACCTCTAAGCCAAACACCCTCCTCCAAGGCGTAAGCGCCCTGTTTGCTCCAGAACATCTCAATTTACTTCCTCTTTTAGGGAATGGCGTTTCGCTCTCTTTTCTCTCTCTGTTCTAAAAATGTCACAAAAAGGCCCCGGATGCAAAGAGCGGAGGAGTCCGGGGCGTCCCGTTTCAAACTAATGTTACTCCGTCTTGCGGCATTCGTTATCTACTTGTACTGCAACTACCACAGCAGCCACCTCCGCTTCTAAGTCTACTTGCTAGCTGCAAGGCATCACGCTTCTAACATCGGCTGAGGTCGCAGCATCGTGCCTTCAACATACAAGGTGGCATCAGAGGCGCTCAACCTCCTTGCCGCATCGACGACAAGCAGCTCGGAAATCAGCCTCAAAATTCATCTGAAACGATGGAAAACTGTGATATCCTCAATCATCCTCAATCTACAGTTCAGCACACCCCACTGCCCTCGTAGGAGCAGGACCTGCGGCCCATGGCGGAGAAGGCATTGGCAGGCTCAAACTGCCACTTCCTTGACTGCGTGCAGCCCACAGCCGCGCAAAAACAAGACTGTATGGGAATTCTAGGGCTTGAGCGCCAGCTTCACAGCGCGCAGGATCTCAAGATCATCGCTGCCCAGGAAGGGCGGGCTACCCGCCAGCATCCAGAACAGCACCACCTCTGTCAGGAACACTGCACTGCAAAGCACGGTGTTGCTGCAAGGAGCTTTTTGACAAACATAATGAACTTTTCAGAACGCTGATCCCGGCAGCGTTGATGCTCCTACTTGCTCTGCTCCTCCTGACTGTTGTTGCTACTGTTGATGTTACAAGTACTTCTATTATTGTACTGCTATCACTACGACCGCAAATACCAGAGTTGTGTTTTGCATGAGATGTGGCTCAGAATCCAACATCAGAATGTACTTGAGCTGAAGAGTTGGGTTAACAGTTCCGCGTTGGCAACATACATGAATCGGCGGATTCACCCTTGTCTTGCTAGCCGCTAGCCGTTGTGTAGCATCTTTTGCGTTGCATCGTAACTTGATCTGCTCTGTCGGGGTGGGTGGAATAGAGTTTTGGTTAATCGACTGTCCCCGTGTTTCTCTTGTCCATCGACGCCTACCCCACTTCCGGCTGCTTCAAGCGCTAGCTTTCTCGGACTTCTTTGTTGTTCTGCTATCAGTGCCTCCCAACCGAGGTGTTGCAATGCGTTTTGTACACGAACACGATTGGTCATAGCTACGCATCATGTGTCAGAATAAACCAGGAAAGCTATTCAAAGGGGAACCGTACTTCCGGAATCATTTCAATGCACTTAAGCTGCTGGGCCCTGCGCTGCTATGTGTATATTGCTTCGCACTCACATCACCGTAATGTGGCACCGCAACCCGGGTGGCTAGTGCATGTCAGCTTCACGCAGCGTCTTAGCTGCTTACCCACAGCACGAAACAGCGAACTGTTACAGCTTCATTGTTGTTTCAGAGCGTTCGCATAGCAAGTTGTTGCTGTAACATCTTCTTCGTGGAACTATCGGACAACTGACTATAATTGGCCGAAGGGATCCTGAGGCTGCGGCGCCGCAGGACCACAGGTCAATTTTGTGGTCATAGACGGGCGTGCGTGCAAGCATCTCCGGAGCCACGTAGTGCGCGGTGAAGATCTGGGGCGGAAGGAAAACCATCAGCACGGCAACATCCCAAATTGATGGCGCCAAAACCGAAACAACTTTGCCAGACCACGGCTGTCCGAATACGTCAAGCTAGTTTAGAGACGAACTGGTTACGCCAAACCTGAACAAAAAGAAGTAGATACGCAGCTTCAATTTTGCTAAGGCAGTCCAGGCACCGTGGTCTTGAGCGCTTGATGCTTGAAGCATGCAGCGGCGCCGAAGTCAATGAGCCTTACGTGTGGCTCCTTCAACCACAAGGGCTTGCAATCAAGCACGCGGCGGCGTGTTATGGGCGCCTACGGCAAGATCATGTCCTTGATGTTCGCAGCGCTTTCGAGCATGACGTTTTCCAACTTTAGGTCGCGATGGGCGATGTAGTGGCTGTGGATGTGGGCGACTGCTCTCCTGCATGCAGAACCCTGAACACGACAACCCCACATTCACAAACGGCAAAGAAGATGAATGGCTGAGTTGCTGGCATGAGTTGAAGAAAGATAGGCCACACCTTTGCTTGCGCCAAATCACCAGCCTGCAGCGGTTCTCTGATCAAGGCACCATCTGGGGCTGGTCTAGATTGCGATCCTTTTAATTCTTTGGCGGGCCTTGCAGAAGGGATCTTTCTTATGCAGGGGTACTTTGAGGGGACCCTAAGCCTGATATCGATCCCCATCTGCTAGAATTGCGTTTGTGGTGGAATTACTGCAAAGCCAGATCCGACAACTGATAATGTAATAATGATGATGATGTAAGAAGGAATGATGACGATAGTGGTGGTGATGATGATGCGCTCGATGATGAAGTCGAGGATGACGTTGGTGATGATATTGATGCTGATGTCGATGATGATGATGATGAGCATGAGTGTGTGAGGCAGCAGAAGGGTGAAATTGAAAACCATCCCTAGAAAAACGCGCCGAAGAAAACAACGAATCGCAGGCGAAGCTAGTGGTTGGGTCGTTGCGTTGTCCTCTCCATGAGCCGTCCGCCAGGTCTTCCCGACCACGTTGGACGACGAAGAGATTTGAATCAGAAACTCTTTCATGTTTTGATTCTGCTAGAGAATCACCTTTTGCGAACAGCCCTGAGTCAAAAGTGACTCTGAGTGAGTCCAACACTTCTGCTTTATTTCCAGACTCAACTAGCGGGAACTAGCGCGTCTGAGACTTGTCTGATGTTGTGGCTGAGCCACAGGGGGGACTGCGAGAGCATGCATTTCTCCGTGCGTTTGCTTTGCATTGCGTTCAGGCCTTTTTAGTCTTAGTGGTAAGATGCACGGAGCAGTGCCTAGGGCGAAAGGTAGTGCGTGCTCTAGTTCGGGGTTGATCCGGGTTCGGTATAACTTTAGAGTCCCCTAATTTGGTGTGCCTTGATGTGCCTTGAGCTGGTTTCGTTCTAGCCTTCGAGCATGAGACGATCGGTGGTGGTCCCAAAATTTTCAGCGGTGACCTTGACTTACTTAGAATCCTCCGCATCTCCTTCGTTCTGATGCTCCCAACTTCACATGCTGGCCCGAACCGTCTGGCTGCGGCTTACCAAGGGCGGAAGCCAATTACGCCCCAATTAGGACTCCGCATGCCGAGGCTGCACCGCACTAGCGAAAACATGTCATGGAAGCATCTTGATCGCAAGGCCAAACCATGAAGTTGGCCCCCCGGGCCGTCTAATTTCGAGAACTTTCTTCCATTTCGAATGCCCACCCAACTCTCTTGAATGGAAGCAAAAGGGGCCAGCTGACCAATTCTTAAATCATCTTCGAGACGCAAGACCGCAAGAAGCTTGCTGGAGCGCATGGCGTGCCAAGCATTCATGAGTTTGCACCCCGCAGAACTCCAATACCAATCCGAGGCGCTCTGACAATCTGCCCAAGGTCCGTGTGGTACAAGTCCATGACCAGGTAGAGGAGCCTCCACACGCCACGAAAGGGGCGGACCCGCACACAGCATCTGACGCTGTGAAGCGGTAATGGGCCGTGAGCGCTCTGAGGGCACAATGGGGCTCTGGCGGTCCCTCCTTTTTCCAGTCGCGGAGTGTCACGACGTTGGGCTCGGCACAATTGCAAGGGCTGCAAGGGCTTTCTGACACTCTCATGCCAACAGCTGCATATAGACCCATTTGATGCAGGTTGCATATTTAACTGCTCATGATGCTCAGGGCATGGCATGCTGCAATGTCTGCATGATTGCGAGCTCTGACGCCATTGCCCTTGGGATCTCTTTGACCTGAGAGGTCAGTTTCAAGTTCTAAAGCCCGTTACAAGCAAGCCACCATCAACACTATGACTGAATGGTCGGTGCATGGAGCGGCTGGGGCCGCCACCGCAAAAATCTGACGTGTCCTTATGGGAAAGGAGATGCAAGGAATAGTGGTCAGACGCGGGCAAGCACCCTCACCCTCACCCGCACTCACTCCCAGACATACACCGACACCAACCCTTACACCCACCCAGGCTCTTCAACCTTGAGTTAATGCCGTTTCTGCCTGATTTCTGCTAGGACGCCAGCAAAGCTCCTATTCTGGCACTGCTGCACAGCCTGTACTCAGCCTGTACGCACATATGGAGCTCAAATTCAGGCAGGTGGCCTGATTACCTTGAAGGATCTCCAAAAGGGCCAGCAAGCTGGCAAAACAACCCGAGTCTGCTGCTAAGGCACCGCATGTGCCGCGCTCTGCGAACCACTCCGTAGCTACCTCTTCCCAGCGGCTGCATCATCCTGTACACCTGCAGGGGGCGGATGGGGGCGGTTTTGCTAGGCATCGCTAGGCGACAGTCAGAAATAGTCAAAACAGGTCTCGACATCGCGAAACTGCACATAGATGCACTTTCCAAACGATCATGGCAAAAAGCACTATCCCAGAACCCTGTCCCCCATCAGAATGCGTGCATTTCATTCTGACACGAAGCTACTCCGTGTGCATGGCAGACGCCCAGCCCAATGCAAACAACAAACAGGCAGTCCAGCAGAAACACATCACGAGGCACCATACCAGTGCACGACCGATCGCAAGCATCTAAGCACCCTGACGCCATTTTCCTACACTCTTTTTGAATCTAATCAGTGCCCTTGAGGCAGCGAGTCATCAGCAAACTAGTGTCCCTGCGCTGATTTCTTGTGAAGGATGTTTTGAGCTCGCGTAGTTCTTCGAGGGTGAATTCGGGCTGCCACGTGTTCTTCTTGAAGGAGTGACGAAAATCTTTGCAGGAGTGCTTTGGCTGACTTTTCTATACTTGCTCGAAGGAATTCTGAGAGGTGGTTATTTTAGAAGCATGACCAAGTTCTTGCAAGCCGGCTGACCCGGTGCGGCTGCCAATTATTGACCAGGTGACCAGCTCTGTTGTTACATCCTGAAATCTCTGATGCGCCATGCACCTAAAACTCAAGGTCCAATTTTTATTTACGACTTAAGATGGTCCGCTATATGCCCCTGCTATCACGCGGATTTTCCCAAAAAGGAAACTTTGATCTTGCGCGATATCGCATTCCTGGTCAGGAGTGGCTAAGTGAAGGGAGCCGAGGCACACCTCAACAGACCGAAAAGAACACCGACCAAGGTCTAGCAAACTCCCACGAGACGCAAACATTGAGGGAACGCATCCAAAAGAGCACCGACCAAGTAACGGCTGCTCCATGCACCGCCCAGGAAGCAACGCAGCATGCCATCTCAAGCAAACATTCCATACACCGTAGAATGCACATGTCACTCTTGATGCCTGACTAACACAGGCTACCAGAAACCCAGTTTAACACGAAATGTAACCAACCTCCCAAGGAATCAAGCGAAAACCAGCGACAGGTTCTTCCGTCCACCGCTCATCTTGAGAAGACTCACAGCAAACGTCTCGTAACCCATTCTTCACCCAGGCCTGCGCAAAAGGCGGTCCTCCGAAGAAGTCCTCGAAAACCATGGAGGCCTGAATGCGCAGGATGTCTGAGGTCTACGGCAAAACGTCGCGACTGTGGACACGGTGGCCAAAGGCGTCCTAGATTAGGATTAGCAGGGCACCGAAACCCATAAAACTGCAGGGATGCCCGGCACCCCAACCCGCCCAATGCCCATCACGCCAAGACGCAAGCCCGCAAGCGCCCGAGGTGTTTGACTCTTCTGCGAAATCATGTCCCGGTTCAGACCCCCTGCGATACGTTGCTCCGACCCACAAAGCGGTCTGAGCCTTGATTTCAAATTGTCCGTCATCAACTGCGTTTTCCGGTCGATACACCAAAGCCAAATGCCTATTTTACAGCCACGGCTCCAGCTTTGGCTTTGCATCTTTACCAACTCGATGACTCCATGCATGTGCCGATTCTTACTGGCCAACACCCTTCCTGCCGTCGCAACGTGCATACTCTTTTCTCTAGATCTTAGCCAGCCGTTGCCAAGGCAATACAGTACAGTACCCTGCAAAACTCAACAAAGGCTGTCGCGAGAGGTGGACTCACGAGTCGAAGCACCAGGACCATAACTTCTTTCATCCATATGCAAAAAATAAGGACAAACGACATTACGGACATGCCGCCTTGCGCCATTCAGGGCTCAACTTTCCCAATTCTGCACCCGAGACTGGTTTCCGGAACATGGTTTCCAAAAGCATCTGTGCAGGTGAAATCCTACGCGCGCGGTATTACAGGCATGCACAATTGTCTGGGGACGGGACATATTCCACGGCCTCTCCAGCGGTGGTTCCACCAAAGGAAACGGCCGCTGCCGCAGCCACTGCCGTCCCAACACCTCCTAACCTGCAAGAGCAGTGCATCATGGAAATCTGGTCAGTTCTACCAAAGGATCACGGCCAAAGCTACGCCAAGAAGCAGCAGCACATCGGCCAGCGCAGGGGCCGCGCTGGCCAGCGAAATAGAAGTGGCGCAGGCTCCGCAATTGCCAACCTCAGCTGAACATGCTTCTGATGGGATGGCCGCCGTTGCAGAGGGAAAGATAAAACATCCAACCTGGACCCACCATCAAGCAGCCTGCAAGACATTAACGTAGCAAGACGAGTATCTGCAGCGAGGCCCACGAGGTGCAGCCACCTGACCCGTCCAGCATTTCGAACCGTGCACTGCGAAGCAAGGCTTGCGCTACTTTCAAAAAGCTTCTGGCGAAGCACAGTGCGTTCTAGTGGCTCGGTGGCCACATTCTGGGCAAGCTCCAGCCAAGATGGCCTACAGCCATGCGAATGCCCTCATATGCCCTCTATAGCTCACCAAGCAAGTCATGTCAAGCGTCAGGTCCATGCACCGGACTTAAGACCACGCATGTCACATGCTTTTCTGGCGCTGTGCTGTGAACGATAAATATTGGACGGCAGCAGCACTATCGACTTGGGTCACCGGCGTCTTCTCGTCAAGGCGTGGCTCCTCCAGCCTCAAACGCACCAGCACGCCGCAACAAATTCGCTTTTGGTTGATTCTCTTGGAGCGAAGCTGTGGTGGGGAATGTAGTGGGAGAGGAGAGAGGGAAGCTGTCTGGGAGAGAGGCGCGGGCACTCCTGGAGCTCTCCAGATGGTCCATTTTGAAGGCCCCTTCTGCTAGGGACAGGTGCGTGCCGGAAGTCAACCATCCGGGCCCTGGGCCGAGCTTTTGCTTCATCCACCACAGCCTCGCCCTGCAACAAACTTTGCAGACTTCGACTGGCGAGTAACCTCTTGAATCTCTCACAGCAGGCTAGGCCTCACTTCCCCAGAAGTTCTGCCAGAAGGCAGGCCACATCTTGCGGCGTCCGGTTGAGCTGATAATACACTCGGAGTAGTCAGGGTTCAAACAGCAAGCAACAAGGACTCACTGAGTCACTGTCAAAACAGCTGACCATTGGTAGCAGACAGCTGCTAGTCACACCCAGTAGGCATGTGCCTGATCTTGCTCGCTGCCTTGCATCTCGGAAGCTGAGCCAAAGGATCTGCGCACACAGGAGGTCATTGGAGCTTGAAAGCTTGCATGGCTCAATGCCCACGTATACGCACGAAACAGCAACATTGAAGGCATTTTAGCATTGACCTCATGGCTCCGAGTTCATTGAGCACGCGGTCCAAGTCAACAACAGCCTGGTATCCCGGGTGCTGTACGCGGACATGTTGAACATCTTCCCGAACGATACAAGCGACATTTCAGGGCTCCTTATTCTGACGCGGCGAAATCTTCTTGAGGGTCCTCGCCCACATCTTCTCTGAGCAAATGAGATGTTGAAGAACCTGCTTTTGCATCTTGACGTGCGCTGTCTTCAAATTCGACGGGAGGGCCTCAATGTCGACCGGTGGAACATCATTACACAAGACTATCGATACAATCTGGTTGATACAATTTTGCCACAACTGTTGCTTTTGTAGCCATTATCCATCATGCTCGAAGTGCATTTCGAGGAATTACGACGGCAAAAGCTAGGAGGGTCCAGGGTACCACGCTGGCAGAAAAGCAGGCGAAACATGATCGAAGATTCAGCCAACCGTGACCGGAAAAGCAAGCATAAGTTTGAAGCTTTCACAAACTACTGATAACCAGATTTGCCTGTTACTGCAGTATTGGTCTTATTTTCATTATAATTTTTAGTATTCGTATTGATTTTACTATAGTTTTGTTAGTACTAGTGCTATGAATATTTGTACTTCAAAAGGTCCACGTTCTGATGTCCTCTGTACAAAGAAGTCTGGTGAGATCTTTCAAAAGCTGGTCTCCTTCAGGTCATGCAGTGAACCAACAGATACCATATTCGCATATTTAGGGGCCGTTCTTCTTGTTATTATTACTATTATAATTGCTATCATTATCATTATTATCATTATCCTTCTTAAGACTACTATTGTTACTATGCGTATCACTAAAGAATTTGGGGAGAATGCTGGCATTTAGTTCCGAGCCCTTGGCCGCCCAAAGCCCTTTCCAGGACATTTTTTCACGCCCGCGCTGCGCGACCACGCTTCTGGAAAACATGCGGTTCCGCGCAGCCAGGGTAGATTTTGGATCTGGATTTCCAGGATCGCAATCCCCTCCCTCGAATAACAATAGACATCCCCCAACCCCTATTAATAAGCCCTTTCCATCCCTTTCCTCTTATTGTTGTTTGGGGAAGGGATTAGACAGAAGTGGGGTCAGTCGTCCAGCAGGCCATTCGGGATAAGCCCTTCGGTCTGGCATCCAACCTTGGCTGATCTAATCCGTCATGCGCACATGGACTCAAGGCATGCTGTACTTAAACCATCTTGGAAGATCGCGTGATCAAAGTCTTGGGTCCAGGCTGTAAGCAAAACATGCCCGCGCCCAGCGACCTCCATGTCATCCAGATGGCGCCGGACCTGGCAAAATCAGGAAGTATGGAAATCAAGTGCTTCGAATTGCTCCCAGATCCGGCCTCGTTGCCGATAATCGCCCCGATGTTCTGGGCTTCTGCCAGATTATCGCGGGTGATGTCGGTGTACTTGGCAAATGGTGCTTCGTTCGTGCAGCAAGCAGCAAGACACTGCTTGATGCCAACACAGGAACAGTTGAATTCCTGAAGCACCCACTTATCCTGCTCAGCCTCTCCATTCAAAGATGTCAACACGAAATCTGCCGTCCACCAGAGTGGCATGTCCTCATCTGTTAGGCCTAAGCATGGCATCACATTCTCCACATCATGCTGCAAGAACATCTCCGTAAGCTGTCTGAACTTTGGCTCTTCTGGATCATAAAGCTTGTAGTTCGCGCCAATGCCACCCACGACCACGCCACTCTCCAAGGGCGCTTTGTGCAAGATACTTACAAGCACCTTCCCCACCATGTTGTACTGCAGCTCGCCTTCTTCTAGCTTTGGACAGAATCCTTGGTCCACGAGCTGGCCACCCTCCATGTCGAAGTATTTTCCATCGCTTTTCGACATCCAAGTTCCCGACTTTGACGTGCGACCATGCAAACAAAATTCAACGAATTCCGAGAGAGTGTGCTCTTCCATGTGATTGTCGCTGGCCTCCACCAACATCAACACCTCGTCATTTGCGCAAGATCTTTCCCCAAATGTCTTGCAATAATTGCCCTCCTTTAGCTTGACGATCCAAACGTTTTCGCCTGCAGAAGCGCTGCTCGGCTTGATCGTGCGCGGGTGGAATGCTATAGTTCGCGCGAAAGCAGAAGCAAAATCTTCGGGGGTATGGTACGTGAGTGCGCCCTTGAGGCCGATGTTGAGTGTGGCAACTTTGCACAAGGCATCCTTGGCTTCCATGAATTCCACAGCATTCGGCGAAGGCCAGACCTGGATGCCCTGCCTGCGCATGGTCTGCAAGCCCTCATTGAACATGTCTGGGTTCCCGCGGCTGCAGCGCACAATGATGGCGTCAAATCTTGCGCTGCTCCCGGGCCCAGTTCGTGTAGTATTTCGCCTGCTCGGACGCTTTAGGTTGTCTGCCAATTCACCTGCAACGACGGCCTTCTCCAGCAGCGCTTCGGGAGGCTGGCGGTGCGCGCCGGTGAAGCTTAAGGTGGCGTTCTGCCGTGCGAAGACAAGCTTTTGCGCGCTAGCTTCACTAACCCATCGACGAGGCGCGAGACGCCTCGCGCAGGTTGAAGAGCGGGACGTCCACCGCGCGCACCGCCACCAGTACTCGTCGATCGTCGACCTTGGCCTGTCCCCGGAACCGAGCAGCTTGCAAACACGACGTGGCTCAATACACATCACAGTTTGAAACACCCTGAGCTGCCTTTGCGAAGGCGTACCAAAGGGACACCGCGAGGCTCTCCGAGAAAGAGAGCCAGGGGGACGCCTGAGTCGAGACTTGGTCTTGCCCATCCCTCACAGCCACACTCAAACTGGCCTTTGGATTCTGGCCGATGTGCTCGGCCACAGTGACATCGTCGTCACCTGACGATGTGTGTTTCAGTGTTTCAGAATGTTTTTTGAAGGTCTGCGCGAGATAGCGCGCCTTTAGCCAGGCGGCAGTCCTCGAATGTGGCTGCGCCGCGCCACAGCAGGCCTCGGTGAAGCGGCTTGATGAGGACGAGGACAGACCGTCTACGAGTCCTGCCCCAGCCCTGCCCCAGCAACCTCTCGGCCCCTGATTGTTTGCAAAAACGCGTAAGAGTAGGCGCCCGACCAATGCGCTCCTCCTTGAGGAACCGCGCGTCGATGGCCGCTGTACGTTCGTGGAGGGGCCTGGAGTTCGTGACCATCTGGTAGAACTCCTGGCAGGAACACGAGACGAACGCTTGCGCACACGGGGAGGGTTCGGATTGCGGACTCCTTCATGGCCGCGGCTTCCGCGAGGGCCCCCCAGCGACGGCGCACCTTCGTGCCGCCGAGTGAATGACGAAACTTCCATCGTGGACTCTCAAAAGCTGAGCTTCCAACGGCCAAGTCGATTTGCTCCACATCCTTGCCCTGGGAGGCCAGGTCGCGCGCCTGCGCCAGAGCCTCACACACAAACGGGTCAGCTTACAGACCGAATGCTCAGACTGCGATGGTGCACGACGATCGGTCGATAGAGCTCTAGGCGCGTCGCCAGTGTGAAGAAGGCCATGACCTGCAATCTCGGCTCTGTACGATCGAAACTAACAGCTGCGCTTGAATGGATAGTCTCATAAACGCCTTCATCGCTTCCTTATGCTTATTTGGGCCCACGCTCGATGGTCGTCGGGATGAGGAAGCTACAAACGGCAAAGGCTAGGAGGTTATCTGAGCACAATTGGCTTTGGAGGATGCAACTGTGGTGGGGCAACTGCTGCAGGGTCGTAGCCGCACCAAGAATATGACAAGAGCGACTCTCACGAAGGTCTTCTTTTTGTTCTCCAAAGCAATGCATCGACCAAAGCCCCACTCTCACGGCCTCAGGAGTTGTGCACACGCGAACACGCGAATGACAAGCGCCGCAACGGACCGCTGAGGCCGGGACTCGTCTTCCCACGGTGGGTGGACATCATGCCTTCATTGCGGGCACACTTCAAAGAATTTGTCGTGCTGTTCATGCACGTAGTGTACTAACTGGCAGCTCATGCCTGCGCCGATCATGCCATTTGCAAAAGGGATCGAATCGTAACGGTGCCCGTTGGAGCTCTTGTCTGACCCACCCCAGGGGTGGTGGCGAACATAAACCTCGACCAGCACGGTGTAAAACGCAGGCACCTGGATTTGGGGCGAGGGTTTCATGCCAAAATCTGTCTTGCATTGACTGATGCCATCGTCGTCGCAAGTTCAATGGGCATGAGCGTTACATCTCAAAAAGATATGTCCAATGATGATAGTGTTGTGGTTGGCGGTGCATGGCTGGGCTGCGTAAACACCAAAATTACAAAATTGCAAGAAGTGCCACAAAATGCACTCCCCTCAAACCTCCATTTTCAAAATACACCGAAAATGTCTTGGATATGCATGGATATGACCACAACAGAAACAAACACAATACACATGCAACCACAACAAAAAGCAGAGGGGGCGACAACCCCCTCTCTCTTTTTCTCTCTCTTTCTTTCTTTTATTCTTGGGGGCATGAGGGCACGGAGCCTTTTTCTCTCTCTCTCTCTCTCTTCTCTCTCTCTCTCTCTCTCTCTCTCTCTCTCTCTCTCTCTCTTCATGTTGCTGTGAAACCTCTTTGGGAGGGGTGGATTGTACAGAATTCTTTTCATATCGTCTGTCCTATGAAACCGCTTCGGGAGGGGATGATGTTCATCTAGACTGCTTAAACATAGGCTCTGAACGGGGGCCATCTTGTGTAAACCGTTTAAAGTTGAAACTCAACAGGGTGGAAATGTTAACAGACTTTGTGTTCAAAAGGGGGTTGCGTTTCAGCAACCCCCCTGCCCAACCCTGCAACGTACGGAGTTGCACACCGTCATTGCACCATCATCAGAACCTCAAGAGCGTTTCAACACGTTAGAGTGCATGTCAACACACACCGCTTAAGCACGGTTAAACCAACCCTGCCCACGCTGCGGGGCATGGAAGCATCCTACAAGACCCAATTTATGGACTTCATCTAAACTAACACATGTATACACACCACCTTTAAACACGTTTAAACCTATCCTGCGCATGTGTCAAAGACATGTAAACGTACCGCGATTAAACAAAGCAAGCTGAAACCTATGTATTCTGCCCATGCCTCCAAGCCTCCTGCACCTCCTAACTACCGGACGCGGTTTGAACACGCCTAAGCCTCCAAGACCTTCCTGCTACGTCAAAACAGTCGGGCCACTTTGCTGAAACATGTTTAAACACCCGACTTTAAAGAATAATGTTTGGGTGGGTTTCCATGTATCTGTCCAACTTGGTTATGACCGAGCCTGAGAAAGCGCTTGAAGGCCCAGGTCGTCCCTGGCCATCCGTTGCAGCGGAGTGACATCAACAATTGATCCGGAGGCCCCCATGGTGATATGGGGAAGGGAACAAAAGGTTGCCGGTCGAGCCAACACAGACTGCAGCAATTAAAACATTTGCAGTAATTGCAGTGATTCCAGCACTAGTGCAATATAATGCAATTCATTGCAGTAGTTGCGAAAACTCCGCGAAAATTCCAGTAATTGCAGTAGCTGCAACAGTTGCAGCCGTTGCAAAAATTGAAGGTACCATGTTGTCTATACGCAATATAGTGTATACATATATATATATATATACCGCATATGTGTGTGCAGGGGAAAAAATGTTTCGGTCACCGACACTGGGAAAATCGCGTCACCAAACGGTCTGTCCACGTCACCAAACGGCACGCTTCCGTCACCAAACGGCATGATCGCGTCACCAAGAACGAACATGTTCACGTCACCAAACGGCCCTGATTCGGTCACCAAAAGGACAGCTGGTGTCACCAAAAAAAGCTGTGTAACCATGGCCAGGAAAATTCCAAATATTGCATCCCATGCAAATCCTCCAGCTGAACCAAACTGCACGTGTCCAGACCCAATCCTACCCAAAGGACACTGAACCGGCTGAAAATGCACCCCAACCCAACCCAAGCAACCTAGCCTGACCTGGGATACGATCCAATCAAATCCTACCCAATCCAACCTAACCTAAACTAACCTGACCTACACGTATATCTCGACGACAGTAAGTGTTGTCCTGACCAAAACAGAGGGTAAAGCGAGATGTTACAAATGTCTCCTCCCTGTCGTCTTCCAATCAAACCACTTCGTGGGGGGATTTTACAAATGTCTCCTCCCTGTCGTCTTCCTCCAGAATGAGACCACCTTGGGGGGGATTTTGCAAATGTCTCCTCCCTGTCGTCTTCTTCCACAATGAAACCAATTTGTGGGGGGGGATTTTACAAATGTCTCCTCCCTGTCGTCTTCGTCCACAATGAAACCAGTTTGGGAGGATTTTACAAATGTCTCCTCCCCGTCGTCTTCATGTTGCGTCTCCACGTTGCAACATGCAGTATGAAGGTGTTTAAACTCGAAGGTCGACCATCAATCAGGTACGCAATAAGGGCTGTACGTAAACAAAATTACAAACACCAAGACTCAGGATTCCGGCCACGCATGTCAACCATGCTGTGTGTGTGTGAGCGTGTGTCTGCGGGGGGTTCAGAGGCAGTTCCGTGTTCGGCCACGCACGCACCCACGCACCGACGCACCCACGCACGCACGCAATCATCGCGAAGAACAAACCGCCTGTTCTGCATGCGTTGACAGGTTGGGCTGCTGACTGGTATATGTCGGTACGGATGCACCCAGAACAGCAGCCACATGTACAACGCAAGTCCGTGCTTTGCGTAGTGCTTGAAATTGGCACTGGCGTTTTGATTTTGATGCGTGTCTAAGTTTGGGCATGGCAACGCATGTGGTGCTATCTGGTGTGTGCTGGTACGGGTGCTTGGCGAGAGCCTGCCAACGCGTGTACAACAAGACAGTAATCTTGCCTGGTCTTTTTTGTTTTCGGGCATTGGGTGGTTCATGGCTGCCTAGGCGAGAATTTGCAGAACAGGAATCGTGTGTCCAACAAGACTGTACAGTCTGATGGATTGCAAAACAGCAGACATGTGCACAACAAAACTGAGTACTGTAAATTTGAGTGATGCTGTGGCATTTTGATTTTGGTTAGGAGGTGCTGGCTGGTTGTGTTGGCATGGCTGCTTTGGCGGGAGTCTGCAGAACAACGCACGACTGGCATTTCGGTTTTGGCCTGGGATGCCAGTGGTGAGAGTTGGTAAGCCCGTTCGGGGAGAGCGCCTGACCTGTGTCTTTGGTTTGCGCTACCTGTATCTTCGTTTGTGCTACACATATGCTTTTGGCTTGCCGACACTTGTTGGTAGCATAACACCGGGCGACAAGCATGCGATCTGTGTTTTTCGTTTTGCGCTACTTGTGTCTTTCTTTTGCGCTACCTGGCAGAAGACTACAGTATGTTCTGCAACGAAAAGAGGGGGTTTTAAGTCAATTGAGATGCTTATGCCTTGTGGGTAAAGAGCACATGTGACCCATATCGTTACCAGCACAGGTTGCAGACGCCCAAACCTGTGTGCTGGTAACGTAATCGTGGCTCCACAACAGCGGAGGTTATTGTTGTTTTAAAAGTGTGGCTCGGGCCTGTTTTTGGTTACGGTGTGGCTCGGCTTGACGATCTGTTGCCACTTACTGTAGATGTTTAGGCTCGAGCTGTTTGGTCGCTGGCGCGAGCTATTTGGCCGCAAGGGAAACAGAGCTATTTGGTCGCAGGGGAAACATCTGGCGCGAGGTATTTGGTCGCAGGGGAAACATCCAAGGTTTGAACCAACTCTGCTTGCTGTGCAAAAATGTTCAGAGCTTTAATTTGCCGGCGACACCCGGAAAAGTTCCAAGCGTGCGTCTCGAAGTTGATCTCAAAGTTCTTGCTGGAGGCACCCCGCAAAGCTCAAACGTCCCAAAACACTTTTTTGCCTAACTACAACCTCGTGTGATCTCGTGCGTGTGGCGGTCTTACCCTCCCCAGCTCTCAAGAATGATAGGGGCCAAGTCCGTCGCGCCGGACGCTACGCGGCCATCACACGTGAGCCCGGCTGATTGCGAAAGTGGGCGCCAAGAACTATTGACTTCGAAATGCGACGTGGATAGCGCATGAAGGCTTGAAGCTTGAAACGCAAGACTTGGTACAGCTCAGACATGCTCAGACACTTCGGGGCGTTGGCGCTTTCGGGGGGAGCTCAGAGCTCGCAGCACTAGACGCTCACAACGATGCATTTTTTTGTCCATATCACTGCATTGTCCATTGGGCATCTGTCACGCATGAGGCAAACATGAGCCACCTCGCAGTGGAAAGGCCAGAGAGCCAGCTCCTTTCCCCTTTTTTGTGCATCCACGGCATCGTCTTGCGCGGCAAATCGGGCGACAGGTGGCCAACATGTAGACTTCCTTGCCGGAGATGACGCTGCCCCGTCCCCATCTGTTGCACAAGGGAGAAGGGCCACCTCTTTCGGGTGTAGAACGGCGCCCTGCTTTGCCAAATTGATTCGTGAATAGCGGAACGCCCGTCGCCCTGGACCAGCAGGCGGGGCCTTCCTCGACAGCAGCTTCCGGTCGTAGGCCTCTGCCCCGTCCCGGATCTCTGCACAAAGGAAGCTCTCCGAGGACCACTGGTCAATATGCTCAAGCTGGCGTTCTGAGACCCAGTCTCGCAGCATCAAGCCATCACAATGCAGGCCGCCGTTGCGGCAAGGGCAACTCCGTTCTTTGCCGAAGTTTGCTGGCCCAAAACAATGAGATCCTGACCCAGCGTTCTTTGCACCAAATCAAGCGTTGTGCGAGACACGGCCCCACTTGCCGAGGCGTGAGAGAGCCACATCTTTCGGGTGTACAGGGATATCCCGGCGCCGCTTCAGCTTGTGTTCGGAACTCCAGTCTCGCAGCATCAAGCCATCACAAACGCAGGACGCCGTTGCGGCAAGGGCAACTCCGTTCTTTGCCGAAGTTTGCTGGCCCAAACAATGAGATCCTGACCCAGCGTTCTTTGCACCAAATCAAGCGTTGTGCGAGACACGGCCCCACTTGCCGAGGCGTGAGAGAGCCACATCTTTCGGGTGTACAGGGATATCCCGGCGCCGCTTCAGCTTGTGTTCGGAACTCCAGTCTCGCAGCATCAAGCCATCACAATGCAGGCCGCCGTGGCGGTAAGGGCAACTCCGTTCTTTGCCGAAGTTTGCTGGCCCAAACAATGAGATCCTGACCCAGCGTTCTTTGCACCAAATCAAGCGTTGTGCGAGACACGGCCCCACTTGCCGAGGCGTGAGAGAGCCACATCTTTCGGGTGTACAGGGATATCCCGGCGCCGCTTCAGCTTGTGTTCGGAACTCCAGTCTCGCAGCATCAAGCCATCACAATGCAGGCCGCCGTTGCGGTAAGGGCAACTCCGTTCTTTGCCGAAGTTTGCTGGCCCAAACAATGAGATCCTGACCCAGCGTTCTTTGCACCAAATCAAGCGTTGTGCGAGACACGGCCCCACTTGCCGAGGCGTGAGAGAGCCACATCTTTCGGGTGTACAGGGATATCCCGGCGCCGCTTCAGCTTGTGTTCGGAACTCCAGTCTCGCAGCATCAAGCCATCACAATGCAGGCCGCCGTTGCGGTAAGGGCAACTCCGTTCTTTGCCGAAGTTTGCTGGCCCAAACAATGAGATCCTGACCCAGCGTTCTTTGCATCAAGGGGCATGCAATCAAGCGTTGCGAGACAAGGCGCCGCAGGGATATCCTGGCGCCCTGCTTTGCCAGATTGATTCAAGGTTGAGCGGCGTGCGCGCCGTCCTCGACCTGTTGAGACCCAGACCACGGGTCAACATGCTTCAGCTTGCGTTCTGAAATCCAGTCTCGCAGCATCAAGCCATCACAAATGCAGGCCGCCGTTGCTGTAAGGGCAACTCCGTTCTTTGCCGAAGTTTGACAGTTCGCACAATTGCTCGATCTTGTTGCTTGTGGAACACAAGCACCACGGAAGGTCCATTCACCTTCGCAAAGCTTGCCAAAGGCCCGACACAAATGTCTGCCTCAAAGTTGGGCCTCTTCCCACGAGCAGCTGCATCCAGAAAAAGGCAATCAGCATCGAAGTTTCGAAGTTCGGAGGTGGAGCTCTGGAGCTCGAAGCTGACGCAGGAACTCCCTGAGATGTCATGCACACGAAGATCGGTAGTCTTGGTTGAAGTGCCGGAATGCTCGGCCCTCATTTCGACCGCTGTTTTCTGATCCAAGAGCGCTGGAGCGCACTCTGCAGCAGCTCTGTGGCAGCTCTGCAGCAGGTGCCGCGCCAGGGGTGCTTTAGGCACCCGAGCCCGCAGAGTAGCTTTCCGAGGTGTTGGAAGCACTGGCGCCGGCGTCCTCCTCAGCAACAATCTTCACACGCTGACTGCTGACTGATGCTGACTGAGAAAAGGGACGCGGCAAGGATATAAGATGATAAACGCGAAGCATCCCAGTCCTCGGCCATGGCCCAGTCCGGCAAACTGGCGCTGCGCAGGGCGCTTGCGGAGAAGGTCTCCCAGCCTGGCCCGAGCACTTTCAACAGAGCAGCCTCCAGCCGCCCCAAAGCTCACAACCGAGGCTACAACATCAAATTGCGGGACACCCCAAAGCATCTTCTACAAGGAACGACAGCTCATGGCTGGCATGTTGTCCGCAACAAGCGTTCAGCGCAGGGTGATCGGGATGCTCGCCCGGACGTTCAGCCAGGGAGCCCCCGATGCTTGGCCCCTTGAATGTGATGTTCGGGCAAACATCCACAAGAACCTCGAAGCCCAGAAACATCTCTGCCGAAGCCCTGAAACACAAATAGCACAAACGTCCGAAGATCTGGGCATTTGGTTCGCTCAGCAAGCCCGTGGGTGGTTCCAGGTGATTCTACAAGTACCTGGGCTTCCTATAGTTCGTGCGCGTTGGCACGCGCTCTCCCCCCCTCTCTCTCTCTCTCCCCCCCTCTCTCTCTCTCTCTCTCTCTCTCTCTCTCTGCAAAGCAATGGGGTCAGGCAGGCCGTCATCATCGCCGAAGGGCCTGTCGCCCTTCACCAGCTGAAGGTTTGGGAAAAGGAGACAGAAACAAGACCAGGACCCTGGGGCGCGCCTCTGCCTCGCTGGGCGGGCCGTCCTCGAAGGCGGTGGGGTCCTTCGACGCGTGGGGCGAGGCTTGGGACATCACCTGGGACGTAGCGCCGGACGGGCGCCTCCACGTCAGCGACCGGCCTTTGCGCCTTTGGCTAGGACCCGAAATTGACGAAATTGACAAGAGTCAAGAGCTTATAAGTTTGAACATTTGTAGGTCAGAGGATGCCAGGGGCCTGCCGGACCTCCCGCCGAAGCTCCTGGACTCTTGGACTGCAAGCTTGCATGTAAACACCCACTTGCTGTCACGTGTTGTTGACTTCGCACTGTGCAAGCCCCTTGCAAGCGGGCCTGGTTGCGGCCGCGACGGTGCTGGCGAAGGCACTCGCGGCTGTAGAGCATCCAGCCCACCTCAGGTCCCAGGCAAGGTCCGCGGTTCCTTGTGACTTATGAGCTCATGCCGTCATTGGCTGTCGAAACCAGCGCAGCAATCACATATGCCCAGCCCACGACGGACTCCAGCTCCGTGACCTCGTCACGGTCCACCTGCGAAGCTTCAGGTGAACAGCAAGTGGCCAGGCTTGGAACAGCAAGGGTAGCAGGCGGCAAAATCGGTTGTCTTGCGACGCCTCCGGCCCCGCCGCCTCCGGTGCAGCCGCCTCAGGCCCCGCCGCCTGCGCGGGAAGCCGGCCCTCCTCCATGTTGAGAAGGGCCTGATCTCAGAAGACTGAACAGTGCACTCCGAACGTCAGGCAACGCAGGGGCCCCGACATCACCACGCCCGCCCCTCAGGCTGCGCAGGCTGTGCGGTCAGATGGAAAGATGCAAATTGCACACGAAACTCATGCGAGACTCATGTGAATCACACCGCGCACCTCCAGCATACCACAACAGAAGCCCATTAAGCGCCATGCTGGGAGACCCGATTCTCGGGATTCTGAGTCTGGGCCTCGGCCACAATGAGTCACCAGCTTGATGCCCAGTACCAACTCCCACATAATCTCGGACACGTGTGTGTGTGTGTGTGTGGGATTCCCTGGGACCAAGGATAGCGGAGCTCAATGCACAATGTTGTCGCAAGTTTCGGTACGCCTTGTAAATGCCAGGGTTTGTGAACATGTGGTCCGGGCTCAAGTTCTCAATGTTTTCGCGTGTTGTTCTCAGAAGGGGGCACCTGGGGAAAGGAATGGGGCAGGTGCCAATGAAGACCCCCATCCTGACCCGTGAAATAGGGGTGGGACGCCGCCCCTACGTACCTGCTTCGAGCTCCGCTCCGTTCTGCATGTTTTCTTGCCAACTTGACTCCAACTCAAGTGTGAGTGTCGGCAGCCCTTCCCATTTGGCGCTTGTCGTGAATTCTCTGCGAATCTGCAGAGGGTCCAAAAACATGCATGAGGCTGCATGATGTGGCCCAAAAACCGAGGCGTGGAATTGAGTTGAGCATAAGCCTGTGTTATTGAACATGCTGTCAGGTACATGTCGAAGCAGCAAAGTTGGCGTACGTGGTTTGAAAGGTTATGCCTGACAAGAAGATCCTGCGACCATACCCTATGGACCAGATTGTTTTGAGACCAGAAATCTTCGGGGCCAAAGTTTTGCGGACCAGGTCCAGACCAGGTGATGCGGCTGTCAACTCGCTGTAACAGAACACGCTCTTACTACTCCATGATTGTTGTTGTCAGTGTCGTTTCGCTGTGCAATGTTTTTCTTGTGTCCGCATGTCGTTCAGCAATTGCATTAGAAAGCATGACCTGTGTTGCAGGGGACCAGTCTTGACCACCTCGAAAGCATGGCATCGCCTAAAAGCGTTTCCGAACAAAACTCTGCATCATGACGAGCGCTTCATGGCGGTAATGTGATGCATGGAGGTCGTGTGTATGCCCGGGAGGCCGTGTTGCCTGACAACTTGCACATGGGTTGAAGGTTGCAAGTACACCTCGAGCCGTGTGATGCATGAAGTATTGTACTTGGCTTGACTTGAACGACGGTGCATGGCATGATCGTCAATGGCACGAGTGCAGTGAGCTGCACATCGCAACAGAGTGATTTGCGCAACGGATTTGCATGATTGTGCATGACAGAAGCGCTGTGACGTTTGGAATCGTATGCTTGGCGTGACTTGTACGATGCATGCGTGGCAGTGCATGGCATATGTGAGTGCCGCATGGTGGCAACTGGCACACGTCCCCACTTGACCGACGCATGGCATAAATGTGACTTTACAAGTGGCTACACACGTTTTGGATTTGTTGATGACGATCCCAAGCTCAAGCACGAGTGATGCGAGAATGCTTGCATGCTAAGTTGGCTTTTGTGTGTGGGATTCCCTGGGACCAAGGATAGCGGAGGTTTGAGCAATGCACAATGTTGTGGCAAGTTTCGGTACGCGTTGTAAATGCCAGGGTTTGTGAACATGTGGTCCGGGCTCAAGTTCTCAATGTTTTCGCGTGTTGTTCTCAGCAAGGGGCACCTGCGGAAAGGAATGGGGCAGGTGCCAATGAAGACCCCCATCCTGACCCGTGAAATAGGGGTGGGACGCCGCCCCTACGTACCTGCTTCGAGCTCCGCGCCGTTCTGCATGTTTTCTTGTCAACTTGACTCCAACTCAAGTGTGTGTTTTCTCCCTCTTGTGCCCGTGCAGATGTGAGCAACCATCATGCGTGGACGCGACGCGCGCAGCTTGGCCAGCCAGGGGCAAGTGCTGAAATCCATACTAGGCTCGAGGGTATGGTCCACCAGTTCCTACTTCTGAGGGGGGCGCCAACTGAACAACGGGACAAATTGGGGCACAGGGAAACCATCCATACACGAAAAGTGAGATGATTTATGTTTTTTGATTCTTCTTTTTTTTTTTTTTTTTTTTTTTGGGGGGGGGGGGGGGGGTGGGGGCAGGACGAGGGGCCACGTGCCTGTCATGAGCTTCCCGCGGCTCACCCTCCGCCACACCCATCTCGCTTGACAGCCAAAGCTAGTTCGCCTCTGTCCTTGTTTCCCCTGGCTGTTGCAGTTGTCGTCGTCATTGTCGTTGTTGCCTTCACTGTTGTTGTCGTGCATTCCCTGTGCCGCATCACTGGAGCAGCGCAAGCCCCTTTTTCAAAGGGATGCCCTTATAATTGCAAGCAAACATGTGTCGATAAGCCACCTTTCCCTGCACTGCGCCGCCACGCCTCGTAACCCCTTTAACCGTTGACATATCGTGGCTGACAACGACACAGAAAGACCTACAGCTAGTCGTGATTCCGGTTCTCAAGCAAGTCAACTCAGCATAACTCAGCGCGAGACGTTGCCAGCAGACCTGCGGCTGGGGAGCCGGCAATGCAATGAAGTGCTTCGCGGCTTAGCATGGTTCAGCGTTTAAGGTTCACAGGCCATGAAGTATATGTAGCTTCTATAGGGGTTAGGCTACATTGCAGTCACTGCGGTCACTGGCCTGAACTTCCCTCGGATGTAGAAGCCTGGGGCACTTGGCGCTCAACATCCAAGGCGAGCTGTGCACGGGTGGCTCATAATGGGCAGCCCAGTAGCCCAGCAGCAGCGTGGTGAGCGCAAGGGCAAGCAGGAAGAGGAGGATGAGGTGCACGCCGTCCTGAACTCACACTTGTCGGGATTAAACAATGACTGGAAATGAGGTGGCATGAGGTGGCATGTACTCGGCATACCCGTGGGACCGCTGCAACCGGAGCAGTCTAACGGTCCAACGAGAAACCCGCCTCGTGCTGCTTGCCGGCTGCGTACGCTGCTTTGAGCGCCGACGGCGGCTCTCTGACGGCGCCGTTGCGCCTTGTTTCTCCACCAAAAAAAGACTCAGATGCAAAGCACACGAAGCGCCAGCACGAGAGCTTGAGGAGTTCAAAGGATCATGAGTTGACTGCGAGCTGGGCCATCGGCAGATCCACTGCTTCTGGAAAGAGCAGTGGCATGGCTCCGTCTTCGGGATTCTTCTAGTCCGGAGATCTTCAGATGACGTTTGAGGATCTGGCTGAATCAAACTTGTCAACTTATCTCTGCAACTTGGAGCTGCCACCCAGCTACATTCTGCAAAATCTCGCTGCGCTACTTTTGCTGCGAAGAAACGGTGTTTGAGACCTATATCCGACTGCGAGTCATCGGATCGGATATCGACGACAAAGCCCTTTTTCCTGAAAGCCAAGGAGCTCTGGATGTGCTCGCATAGGAGTGCACGCCGAGCAAAGTCAAGGCCTTCCTACGGAGGTGTAGCTGAAGCTCAGACTTGATCTGCGAACAGGGCCTTCTCGAACAACACGCTGCTCCCTCGATTTTATCCACTCGTGGGCACCTAGCCACCAAGCCCATCGTGTCGCTCGGACGTCCATCTGTTCATTCAGGCGGTCTGCGCTTCTCTAACTCAAGCCACTTACACGCCTTCTTGGTAGACAGGAACTGGCTTAGGGTTTAGCACAGGCACAGGAGCTGAAGCGATCACCATCCCAGTTTCTCCAATGCTGGACGTTTCTATGGCTGCTGTCTCGCAGCGTAAAGTTGCCCATGTCACCTGAACCTTAATTGACATGGCTACCTAGCTGATTTGAAAGTGTATCAGGCTGGTACACAGTTAGTCATTAGTCACCAAGCTTTGGCCCATTCTTGCGGAACATGGTCATCTGGGACTGCTGTTGTTGCTGTTGAGCTGACGCGGAGGGTTCCTGGCCGAAGCCGCCCCAGGCAGTTGCACAGCGCGGGTTTACAAAAGAAAAGCCCTGGAACCTTGGAACCTCTGTCTCGCATCCTTCATCATGGAGCCTCAACGGAAACACCTTTCGGAAGGCAGCTTCTGGAAGTGACCCCAAGCTAGACACTTCGTGCAAGGTTTGGTGTGGCAAGGGCTGAAGGCTGGAGGAGCAACAAAGTCAGTCATGGCTTGATCCTCTTGCGTGTGCATTGTGCGCCCACCTCCCTAAACCCTCACTGCCGCTAAACCCTAAACTCCAAAAACCTTTTTTTCACTAAACGCAAGTACTTCACCGCAACCCTAACCTCTTCACTTCGTGGGAGGCATGGACCGACGATGGGGGGCTTCGACTGGAGAGCGGAGGAATGAGGAGCCTGGGACCTAAGACGCTGCCTTTTGGTTAGCCAAAGCGGAATGTGGCAGGGGCGTCGGTGCTTCATGGCTGCCTAGGCGAGAATTTGCAGAACAGGAATCGCGTGTCCAACAAGACTGTACAGTCTGATGGTTTGCAAAACAGCAGATATGTGCACAACAAAACTGAGTACTGTAAATTTGAGTGATGCTGTGGCAATTTGATTTTGGTTAGGAGGTGCTGGCTGGTTGTGTTGGTATGGCTTCTTTGGCGGGAGCCTGCAGAACAACACACGACTGGCATTTCGGTTTTGGCCTGGGATGCCAGTAGTGGTGAGAGTTGGTAAGCCCGTTCGGAGAGAGCGCCTGACCTGTGTCTTTGGTTTGCGCCACCTGTATCTTTCGTTTGTGCTTTACATATGCTTTTGGCTTGCCGACACTTGTTGGTAGCATAACACAGGGCGAAAAGCATGCGATCTGTGGTTTTCTTTTTGCGCTACTTGTGTCTTTCTTTTGCGCTACCTAACTTTGTTCCCGTTGTTCCTTGCTGGTGCCGTTTTGCACTTGCATGTGCCAGAAGACTACAGTATGTTTTTCAACCAAAAGAGGGGGTTGTTAAGTAAATTGAGATGTTTATTCCTTGTGGGTAAAGAGCACATGTGACCTATATCGTTACCAGCACAGGTTGCAGACGCCCAAAGCTGTGCTGGTAACGTAATCGTGGCTCCATAACGGCGGAGGTTATTGTTGTTTTAAAGGTGTGGCTTGGGCCTGCTTTTTTGTTACGGTGTGGCTCGGCTTGGCTGGGCACATGCTGCATAGTTCCAAGCCTGCGTCTCAAAGTTTGTCCTTTTCTGTTGAATTGAATTTAAGGGCAGATCTCAAAGTTCTTGCTGGAGGCACCCCGCAAAGCTCAAACGTCCCAAAACACTTTTTCGCCTAACTACAACCTCGTGTGATCTCGTGCGTGTGGCGGTCTTACCATCCCCAGCTCTCAAGAGTGATAGCACACGTGAGCCCGGCTGATTGCGAAAGTGGCTGCCAAGAACTATTGACTTCGACATGCGACGTGGATAGCGCATGAAGGCTTGAAGCTTGAAACGCAAGACTTGGTACAGCTCAGACATGCTCAGACACTTCGGGGCGTTGGCGCTTTCGGGGGGAGCTCAGAGCTCGCAGCACTAGACGCTCACAACGATGCATTTTTTTGTCCATATCACTGCATTGTCCATTGGGCATCTGTCACGCATGAGGCAAACATGAGCCACCTCGCAGTGGAAAGGCCAGAGAGCCAGCTTCTTTCCCCTTTTTTGTGCATCCACGGCATCGTCTTGCGCGGGGCAGTCACTTCTCAGGCGCCGGACTTCGAATCGGGCGACCCAGGTGGCCAACATGTAGACTTCCTTGCCGGAGATGACGCTGCCCCGTCCCCATCTGTTGCAAAAGGGAGAAGGGCCACCTCTTTCGGGTGTAGAACGGCGCCCTGCTTTGCCAAATTGATTCGTGGTTAGCGGAACGCCCGTCGTCCTGGACCAGCAGGTGGGGCCTTCCTCGACAGCAGCTCCGTAGGCCTCTGCCCCGTCCCGGATCTCTGCACAAAGGAAGCTCCGAGGACCACTGGTCAATATGCTCAAGCTGGCGTTCTGAGACCCAGTCTCGCAGCATCAAGCCATCACAAACGCAGGACGCCGTTGCGGCAAGGGCAACTCCGTTCTTTGCCGAAGTTTGCTGGCCCAAACAATGTGAGATCCTGACCCAGCGTTCTTTGCACCAAATCAAGCGTTGTGCGAGACAAGGTCCCACTTGCCGAGGCGTGAGAGAGCCACATCTTTCGGGTGTACAGGGATATCCCAATGCAGGCTGCCGTTGCGGTGAGGGCAACTCCGTTCTTTGCCGAAGTTTGCTTTCCCAAACAATGGTCCTGACTCAGCGTTCTTTGCATCAAGGGGCATGCAATCAAGCGTTGCGAGACAAGGCGCCGCATGGATATCCTGGCGCCCTGCTTTGCCAGATTGATTCAAGGTTGAGCGGCGTGCGCGTCGTCCTCGACCTGCTGAGACCCAGACCACGGGTGAACATGCTTCAGCTTGCGTTCTGAAATCCAGTCTCGCAGCATCAAGCCATCACAAATGCAGGCCGCCGTTGCTGTAAGGGCAACTCCGTTCTTTGCCGAAGTTTGACAGTTCGCACAATTGCTCGATCTTGTTGCTTGTGGAACACAAGCACCACGGAAGGTCCATTCACCTTCGCTGAGCTTGCCAAAGGCCCGACACAAATGTCTGCCTCAAAGTTGGGCCTCTTCCCACGAGCAGCTGCATCCAGAAAAAGGCAATCAGCATCGAAGTTTCGAAGTTCGGAGGTGGAGCTCTGGAGCTCGAAGCTGACGCAGGAACTCCCTGAGATGTCATGCACACGAAGATCGGTAGTCTTGGTTGAAGTGCCGGAATGCTCGGCCCTCATTTCGACCGCTGTTTTCTGATCCAAGAGCGCTGGAGCGCACTCTGCAGCAGCTCTGTGGCAGCTCTGCAGCAGGTGCCGCGCCAGGGGTGCTTTAGGCACCCGAGCCCGCAGAGTAGCTTTCCGAGGTGTTGGAAGCACTGGCGCCGGCGTCCTCCTCAGCAACAATCTTCACACGCTGACTGCTGACTGATGCTGACTGAGAAAAGGGACGCGGCAAGGATATAAGATGATAAACGCGAAGCATCCCAGTCCTCGGCCATGGCCCAGTCCGGCAAACTGGCGCTGCGCAGGGCGCTTGCGGAGAAGGTCTCCCAGCCTGGCCCGAGCACTTTCAACAGAGCAGCCTCCAGCCGCCCCAAAGCTCACAACCGAGGCTACAACATCAAATTGCGGGACACCCCAAAGCATCTTCTACAAGGAACGACAGCTCATGGCTGGCATGTTGTCCGCAACAAGCGTTCAGCGCAGGGTGATCGGGATGCTCGCCCGGACGTTCAGTCAGGAGCCCCTGATGTTTGGCCCCTTGAATGTGATGTTCGGGCAAACATCCACAAGAACCTCGAAGCCCAGAAACATCTCTGCCGAAGCCCTGAAACACAAATAGCACAAACGTCCGAAGATCTGGGCATTTGGTTCGCTCAGCAAGCCCGTGGGTGGTTCCAGGTGATTCTACGAGTACCTGGGCTTCCTATAGTTCGTGCGCGTTGGCACGCGCTCTCCCCCCCTCTCTCTCTCTCTCCCCCCCTCTCTCTCTCTCTCTCTCTCTCTCTCTCTCTGCAAAGCAATGGGGTCAGGCAGGCCGTCATCATCGCCGAAGGGCCTGTCGCCCTTCACCAGCTGAAGGTTTGGGAAAAGGAGACAGAAACAAGACCAGGACCCTGGGGCGCGCCTCTGCCTCGCTGGGCGGGCCGTCCTCGAAGGCGGTGGGGTCCTTCGACGCGTGGGGCGAGGCTTGGGACATCACCTGGGACGTAGCGCCGGACGGGCGCCTCCACGTCAGCGACCGGCCTTTGCGCCTTTGGCTAGGACCCGAAATTGACGAAATTGACAAGAGTCAAGAGCTTATAAGTTTGAACATTTGTAGGTCAGAGGATGCCAGGGGCCTGCCGGACCTCCCGCCGAAGCTCCTGGACTCTTGGACTGCAAGCTTGCATGTAAACACCCACTTGCTGTCACGTGTTGTTGACTTCGCACTGTGCAAGCCCCTTGCAAGCGGGCCTGGTTGCGGCCGCGACGGTGCTGGCGAAGGCACTCGCGGCTGTAGAGCATCCAGCCCACCTCAGGTCCCAGGCAAGGTCCGCGGTTCCTTGTGACTTATGAGCTCATGCCGTCATTGGCTGTCGAAACCAGCGCAGCAATCACATATGCCCAGCCCACGACGGACTCCAGCTCCGTGACCTCGTCACGGTCCACCTGCGAAGCTTCAGGTGAACAGCAAGTGGCCAGGCTTGGAACAGCAAGGGTAGCAGGCGGCAAAATCGGTTGTCTTGCGACGCCTCCGGCCCCGCCGCCTCCGGTGCAGCCGCCTCAGGCCCCGCCGCCTGCGCGGGAAGCCGGCCCTCCTCCATGTTGAGAAGGGCCTGATCTCAGAAGACTGAACAGTGCACTCCGAACGTCAGGCAACGCAGGGGCCCCGACATCACCACGCCCGCCCCTCAGGCTGCGCAGGCTGTGCGGTCAGATGGAAAGATGCAAATTGCACACGAAACTCATGCGAGACTCATGTGAATCACACCGCGCACCTCCAGCATACCACAACAGAAGCCCATTAAGCGCCATGCTGGGAGACCCGATTCTCGGGATTCTGAGTCTGGGCCTCGGCCACAATGAGTCACCAGCTTGATGCCCAGTACCAACTCCCACATAATCTCGGACACGTGTGTGTGTGTGTGTGTGTGTGGGATTCCCTGGGACCAAGGATAGCGGAGCTCAATGCACAATGTTGTCGCTAGTTTCGGTACGCGTTGTAAATGCCAGGGTTTGTGAACATGTGGTCCGGGCTCAAGTTCTCAATGTTTTCGCGTGTTGTTCTCAGCAGGGGGCAGGGTCCGCGCTCAAGTTCTCAATGTTTTCGCGTGTTGTTCTCAGCAAGGGGCACCTGCGGAAAGAAATGGGGCAGGTGCCAATGAAGACCCCCATCCTGACCCGTGAAATAGGGGTGGGACGCCGCCCCTACGTACCTGCTTCGAGCTCCGCGCCGTTCTGCATGTTTTCTTGCCAACTTGACTCCAACTCAAGTGTGTGTTTTCTCCCTCTTGTGCCCGTGCAGATGTGAGCACCCATCATGCGTGGACGCGACGCGCGCAGCTTGGCCAGCCAGGGGCAAGTGCTGAAATCCATACTAGGCTCGAGGGTATGGTCCACCAGTTCCTACTTCTGAGGGGGGCGCCAACTGAACAACGGGACAAATTGGGGCATTGGGGCACAGGGAAAACCATCCATACACGAAAAGTGAGATGATTTCTGTTTTTTGATTGTTCTTTTTTTCTTTTTTCTTTGGGGGGGGGGGGGGGGGGGGGGGCAGGACGAGGGGCCACGCGCCTGTCATGAGCTTCCCGCGGCTCACCCTCCGCCACACCCATCTCGCTTGACAGCCAACTTCACTGTTGTCGTCGTGCATTCCCTGTGCCGCATCACTCGAGCAGCGCAAGCCCCTTTTTCAAAGGGATGCCCTTATAATTGCAAGCAGACATGTGTCGATAAGCCACCTTTCCCTGCACTGCGCCGCCACGCCTCGTAACCCCTTAAACCGTTGACATATCGTGGCTGACCCTTGTAACGGCACAGAAAGACCTACAGCTAGTCGTGATTCCGGTTCTCAAGCAAGTCAACTCAGCATAACTCAGCGCAAGACGTTGCCAGCAGACCTGCGGCTGGGGTGCCAGCAATGCAATGAAGTGCTTCGCGGCTTAGCATGGTTCAGCGTTTAAGGTTCACAGGCCATGAAGTATATGTAGCTTCTATAGGGGTTAGGCTACATTGCAGTCACTGCGGTCACTGGCCTGAACTTCCCTCGGATGTAGAAGCCTGGGGCACTTGGCGCTCAACATCCAAGGCGAGCTGTGCACGGGTGGCTCATAATGGGCAGCCCAGTAGCCCAGCAGCAGCGTGGTGAGCGCAAGGGCAAGCAGGAAGAGGAGGATGAGGTGCACGCCGTCCTGAACTCACACTTGTCGGGATTAAACAATGACTGGAAATGAGGTGGCATGAGGTGGCATGTACTCGGCATACCCGTGGGACCGCTGCAACCGGAGCAGTCTAAAGGTCCAACGAGAAACCCGCCTCGTGCTGCTTGCCGGCTGCGTACGCTGCTTTGAGCGCCGACGGCGGCTCTCTGACGGCGCCGTTGCGCCTTGTTTCTCCACCAAAAAAAGACTCAGATGCAAAGCACACGAAGCGCCAGCACGAGAGCTTGAGGAGTTCAAAGCCTTCAAAGGATCATGAGTTGACTGCGAGCTGGGCCATCGGCAGATCCACTGCTTCTGGAAAGAGCAGTGGCATGGCTCCGTCTTCGGGATTCGTTGGCAGACCTGGGCCCTCGTGGCTGCGGCAGCACTTCCATCACTTCCTACTGCTGAAATTGCGTGACTCGGGTGTTGCATGCGCAGGGGTCGTGCGCGAGCTGAGGCTCCAAGACAGGTCAGATGCAGGCAGATGCGCCCGTTTTTTTTCTCCTTTGAGCGGCTCGAGCTCACAAAAACAGCCCCTGGCCACTGGCCTCTCGGCCAGCGGCAGCCAGGCGACCCAGGCAAGCGGCTAAAGCTCGCAGGCGTCGGGCGCTCAGTGCCCCAAGCCAAGCCTCTGTGCGCACTTTCGGGATCCGCCCAATGTTCGAGAGAGCGGGTGACCAAAGCAAGTGCACACATTGGTGCACCGGGTGATGCGCATCATGCCGAATGCAAGCGGCAGGGCAAAGGCTGCGAGTGGGAGAAATCCCTGTGCACTTGAAGCCGAAGTGGGAGCACCGCCAGCCTGCTGTGACGATAGGACCCTTTGTCGCAGATCTTCTGCCATGTATCCATGGAAAACCAGGATGTCTCAGGCTTTAGCATTTCAGGAAACTTCAGCGTTTGAGCACTAGGAAATACTAGGAACTATGTCGGGCCTTCGTACTGCGCTGCAATCTAGAAATCTAGGGATCTCGTGGTCCTGCAAGTTACGAAGGCCCTCCGCATAAAGCCCAAGACGAGTGTGAAAGAAGACGTTCGACTGCTGCAGCCTCCACGAAAACCTTGTAAAGAAATACTGGGATTGATGGTAAGTAAGCTTGCCATTCAACGCAGCAACAAGCACAATGACGGCATACAGCAACACAAGATTCATCATGCGAGGTGCAAGCACATGTTGCACTCTTTGAGCACAGCGTAGAAGATGGAGATGGGAGCAATGCTGTTGCCCGCCGCCCCTGCCATGCCCGCCATGGTCACAGAAACATCAATGAACCAAAGTTGGTAGGAGCAAAAAAAACAAACGATGCCCGCGGACACACTTTGCGACGGCTCAAAGAGCCTTGCTCTTGCAGAACTTCGCCGGAGCTGAGAGAGATCCCAAGCTGAGCTTACGAAGACGTCTCTCCTCCTTGCACTGACACTTTCTGTTTTTGAGCCCCCTACAGACCGCACGTAAACCGCGCGGCGATTTGCTACTGGTCATGTAAACGCTCAACATCTGGCAGCAAACATGCCCAGGTAAGCAAACTTGGGATTCCTCAGCATGTCTAGGCGATAGGCAGCTGGCATCGAGCTCAGGTGAGAACTCCAGCATGTAGAAGGGTCCGCGTTATTAAGTTATTGCAACCGCTTGAAGAATTATGGATGGTGACTCTGTCATCCTGAAACTCATGCATTGCAAGCACGAAGACCCAAGAAAAACCATCGGGAGAGCGGCAAAGGTGTCATGCACTAGAAGGAAAGATTAGGAACAGCCCCGGTGCAAGGCTCTTCAAAATCTTCAAACACGAAAACAGCTGTGCCAGTGCCTTCGACAATGGATAAGAATAGAACTGATGTTGACGACGATGCTTTAAAAACACAGCGTTGGCCCCTGTCGCTACCGTGCACCGGCCGCCAGCAGATCTGGAACCGTCTGGAACCATCAACCTGCCAACGCAGCGTGCACACCTGCTTATGGACAATACATGCAGCTTTTTTCCACAGCCCCTCCGTTGGAGCCAGGTTCTTCGAAAACTGAACGCCGAGCCGAAAGCACCTGCGGAACTCTGCGGCTTACTTTGCGCCGCGGAGAATCCGCACCACATGGTCGCATGTTGGTGAACCATGTGAGCCAAAATCCGATTGCAGCTCAGATCAGCGGACTGACGATTTGCATGATCAGCCAAGTCATGCCAAGAAAGGCCAAACAGATCACCGTCATTATGCAGGTTGCGCCGTAACATTTGATGCGAGCCTCCCGCTTCGGCCCAAGAAAGATCTTCATGAACTCCACTGGGTGAATCGCGGCAGAAGCCCAGTCTATCCGGTCTTGGGGTGTTGCATAGCGGCCTTCCTGAGGAAGATCTTGGCTTGCTGCTTCTTCCAAGGTCACCATCTGGAGCTCCATGTGCAGCGTCGCGTGCTTTGGGGGTGGCTTGGGTCTGGGAGCTCTTTTGCAGCACCAGAACCCACGTCCTTCATCCAATTGGTGATTGACCGGGTGCCTGTCGAAAACTACGTCGTAGGCCACAGGTGCCCTCTCACCTTGCGCTGCGCTCGCGGCGAGAATCTCGAGGGGTACGACCTTGGGCGCGTAGATCTCTTCGGGGCCGGTGATGGTGTCCTGGTCCATCAACGTCACCGTGAGCCCACAATACTGAACTGGAGTCGTCAGCTCGAAAATCAAGAGTTGGCAAAACGATGCTGTGCTTCTTGCCCACTTATGTGCCTCAGATGGCTTGGACTCACGAACCCGCTCCCTGCCTACACTCTTCGAAACGAAGTCCAGCTTCACAAAGGCATCGTTCCTCTGTCCTTTATCCCGAAAGACTGCGATGCCCGTGACGGACTCCAGTTTTACCCGCAGTTGCAAGGTCACGTGCTTGTGCTCCTTGAAGACAACATCCGGCACCACTTCTTCTTGCGTAGAGACATCCATCCACAGCCGAAGTGCCCCAGTGCGGAGGCCTTCCGGACTGCGCAGGGGCCACGTCTCGATGGCGCTGGGTCCTCGCATGCCCAGGCGACGCTGGAAGGCCATGGCCTCCTCTTTGCTGTGCGGGTCGAAAAGCCGAGTGCTTTGCCGCTTGGCATATGGCCGACTCCTGGGCAGCGTGGGTTCGAGCCAGGCCCGCTCAGAACTCTCAAGGTCTTCGAAAGTCACCTCAATGTCCGATTCTGGGGACATGTTCTGTCGGAGCCACTGCTCATTTGATGCCTGGCGCAGCTTCTTACTTAGCTGTGCCACATGCCGATCTTCGATGTCCAGCAAGTTCTCTCCAATAAGTGTCGCGCCGAAGATACCACTTGTATAGAGACGGAAGATCAGCTCACAGCTGCTGGGTAGCATCATTTCGAAAGAGAGGCTTGTGTAGAAGTCACAGCCGGGGACGTCTTCATGCACCAGGCACGCAGGCTTCTTCACGAAGCTCTCCTCATTGCCACGAATACCCACTTCTAAATACGGATCTTGGAGTGCTTCTGCCACGCCACGAACTGTCAAGATGCAGACGTCCACGACATAGAACTTCTTGACCCAGAGCCGTTCTATGGGGATCGTCCCGACCTGAGCCTGCACTGGCTCCTCGACCTCGTCGATTTCCACGTGCCCTTTCACAAGGCCAACGTTCTTGTCCTCCAGCACCAGCTCCTGTCTGAGGTTCATGCACCTGTCCAGAAAGAAGCTCTTGACGAAATAGTAGTCCGCACCAAGAGGACCTTGCAGCAGCGGGAGTGTGGCAATCTCCGGGAAAGTGTCCTCAAGAGCCGAGCGGTACCAGCTGTCGGTACGAGGCCTGTCGAATTTGGCGGTGCCTTTCAGCTTCATCAGCCGACAGCAGAAGGCATGCTTCGAGACAGGTATGGGTTTCCAGTAACCATCCGGGCCTGCTAGGGCCGAACCTGAGGTGGCGTCCTCACTGCCTTCTTCCAGAGAGACCGAGTCGTAGACCACCGTCTTGAGCTGCTCGCTCTTTACGCCATGGAGGCCTGCCAGAGTCTTGCAAGGGAACCAGGCAGTCTCCATTTCGAAGCGCAAGTCGAAGCAGGGCACCCGCACAGGAACCAGCGTATCGGAAGCGTCCAACTTCACCACGAAGAGGAGTTGTCCAGGCTGGCTCCAAGAGGAGATCAGCTCTGGGGCAGCCCACACCACCTGGCCGTCTCTGTCGAAACGGATGACAAGGACGTTCGTCGTGTAACTCTCCATACTATGCTTCGACTCCGACTCCTCTTTCTCCTCTTTTGGCTGCTCAGACTGCTGAAAGATCTCGTTGATTGCCTTCAAGGATCGCCGGGCCTCCGCAGCAGAGAGGCTCACCTGCTCTCCATGCGGCAACGCCAAGGTGCAGGCGCCGTCCTTCTTCCTCTGGATGCTTGGTTGGTGGCCAGGTGGCAAGGAGGCCAGCTTGACGTTACTCCGAGTCACAGTGACCGCTCCCGTCAGCTCCAGCTTAAAGATGACCGTTTCCTTCTCCGTGTCGGTTATGGAGACCTCCTTCTTGCCGGCACGCAAGTGTGCCGGAAGTCCAAGTCGCAGTCGGGCCAAGAACTTCGAGTCCCGGTCCTGGCGACCTCGGATCCGATGCCCCACAGGCCGAAGAAACGTGTGCAGATTGTCGCTGTAATCGTGGTGTGTGAAGTGCCCCGGGTGCAGTGATTCTGGCATGTGCTGGTGAGACAGGAGCCGGAATCCATGCTTCCTGCAATGTTCCTCCAGCTCACAGGTCTTCATCCCGGACGATTTCACGGGCTTCATGTTGCGAAGAAGCCTCTTCGGCCCAAGGGGCACTTGGTTGTGACGCTCGGCATGTAGCACGGGTGTGGTGCGCCAATCGAAGGCCTCATCCAAGGACCGGGCTTCCAGCATCCAATCTCCCTGATTGAAGTACTGGCTTGTGTGTTTGCTATCCTTGTCCTCGATGGTGAAGAGATGTTGCGCCGTCAGGCTTCGGCCTACAACAAACTCCTTGTTCCATGTGAGAAGGCCCGATGTCTCCGCAAAGACGTCTACGTAGCAGTGGTACACTGCCTCGCCGTAGTCCCCTTGCTCCACGAGCCGGCTAAGGCCCTTTAGCTCCTCGGGTAAGACGGTAAACTGGTCCACGCACTTCTCAGTCCAAGTTGAGGGGTCATACTCAAGTGTCCAATCTGGAAACCAGCCCTGCGCTTGGTGGATTTGGGCACCGGAAACCAGTCTCCGCCTGGATTCCATCATGCTCTCGATCTTGGTGCCGTAGGTCCAACCGGTCGGCTCCCGACGCAAGACCTCCACCAGCTCACCCTTCTTGACTGCCATCCGGGGAAAAGCCGTCTGAGTGGAATCAGGCTTCCAAGACGCGATGACGTTGC